TGCAAAAAGGGATGATGGTCTCTTTGCTTAGTGCCTTACTAAATCAACATCCCCTCTGAGTTCATGGTGAAGTCAGGAACTCGTATTTGTTCAGGGTTTATCTACGTTTATAGTGGCTATATGTGTGATATGGTTACTATCCCAGAATAGCAACAGGCAGGGGAGGGGGCCTTTATCTCAAGAGTCACATGGAAACAAACCGACCATGGTTCCCCCAAGATGAGTGAAGAGCTAGACCAAGAACCAAGAGAAAAAATGTTCAGTAATGGACATATATGTATGTATGTCTTATCCATATTTTATCGTGTATGTGTAATTACTTCCATTTTATGTGGTAACATATAATTATCACATATAATATGTACAATTTTAAGTAAGTAAAATAAAATCATAGTCCCCAAACCAGGTAAACTAAATAAAATGAAAGACCAGTCTCAAGCGCCAAGGAAACACTGTCAGCACTTTCATATCAAGATCTGAATTCTGTTATGATATTAAGCACTTTTCCTGTGTTTCTAGGCCTTCCTCGTCTGCAAGAAACTAGGGCAGGTGGCTGGAAAGATGACTGCAGTTATGAGTACTGGCTTCTGTTCCAGAGGACCAGGGTTCAATACCTAGTGCCCACACAATGGCTCAATACCATCTCTATAAAACTCCAGTTCCAGGGGGATCTGATGCCCTCTTCTGGACTCCTTGGAAACTGCACACACGGGGCACTGACAGACATTCAGGCAGAACACGCATACATGTGAAATAAATAAAAATCTCAAAAAAAAAAAAAAAAAAGTAGAGCAGGATTACAGGATGTGCTGGGAGCATCTGAATCAGAGCTTGCCCACTGGGGATATCTTCAGGTTTTACTTTCCTCATTCCCCGCTTTATGTCTGAGCAAAGCAACAGGTGTGTGGAAAGGGAAACATAATCCCAAAGGGCAAAGGCCATTTCCTCCTGCTGTCTTACACCCTGGCTTGACTGGCAGTGTGATTACAGGCCTCTGGCATGTGCACGCGGGCAGCCCATCCCAGCTGTCCTGACACTTGGCTGCACACAGCTCTTTGGCAGGTGTTTGGCTCCCTTTCCTTTTGTCATGCCCAGCCTGGACCGGCTGTTAGCAGGGGAGTCCAAGGACAATATTCCCCAAGCACACTGGGCAGAGTTTTGGAAGCTACTACAAGCTGGATAAACAGTGGTAACAGTGCTTCCCTTGTCTCATTGGCTAGAGGGGGAAATACATATCTAATAATCCCCCCAAATGCAAATAATAAAGTGCCATGACGAAAGGATTGAAAGAGCAATAAGAGAGATGAGCTCCCGACTAGAAAACACTGGGAACCCTTTCTGGAAAACTAATAGTAAAGCTGTGCCCCTGGAGACAGAAACAAGGTGCGGCCTATGACAAGGGAGGTCCAGGTGGGGGAGCAGCCACTGAGAATGGCCTGGGTGGGGAGGAGGTGAGGCAGGAGGAGGTGAGGCAGAGGAGATCTCAGCACAAACAGTGAGAAAGCCACAGTGAGAGGGGCCTCAGTGTGGGGAGGACGGTGACGGTTGGCAGGAAAGTTTAGGTGTGGATAACTTTTCCCACGCTACATCTCAGTGCAACTTGAATTAGAGTTAAAAGAATTCTATGACCTAATTTCTGTTTTTTAAAAAAAGAAGTAGCATGGCTGATATGAAGGGAATGGACTAAAGAACGGAATGGACTTAAGATGTGAAGAGAGTGGAATGGACTGAAGATGTGAAGGGAATGGAATAGACTGAAGATGTGAAGGGAATGGACTGAAGAACAGAATGGACCGAAGAGGCAAAAGCCCAAAAGCGAAAAGAAGGGATTTTGATGAATTCAAAGAGAATGCTGTCAGGGGAGATGTAGAGACTTTAGTAATTGAAAAAACGCTGTGGTCATAGATTATGTTATGGTGAAGGGTGTGTTAAAATCAGCATCCAGGTTCCTGCTGGAGCCATCAACTGGGTAGAGCTGAACGTTCTTAGATTCAGAAAACTGGAGGATGTGTGTGGGGGAGAGAAAGCAGATGTGACCCACAAGGAGTAGGAGATCAAGAGTTCCATTGTGGATATGTTCAGTTGAAAACAGCTATGAAATATCTGTGGGGAGATGTCAGGTGGGCTACGCAAGTTCAGAACAGAGTTGTTGGCTAGACGTGTGCATGCGAGTCACCATCATACCAGGTTAATAGAAGCCATGGCTTTATAAGAAATACCAAGATAGGGCTGGAGAGATGGCTCAGAGGTTAAGAGCATTGCTTGCTCTTCCAAAAGTCCTGAGTTCAACTCCCAGCAGCCACATGGTGGCTCACAACCATCTGTAATGAGATCTGGTGCCCTCTTCTGGCCTGCAGGGATACTTGTAGACAGAACACTGTATACATAATAAATAAATAAATTTAAAAAAAAAAGAAATACCAGGATAAAAGAACTGAGTCCAGGTCATAGACGAATACTGGAGAGATCAGAGTAAGAGAAAGGGAGCTGAGGAAATATCTCAGTCAGTGTAGTGCTTGCCATGAAAACAGAAGGATCCCCTAAACCCACACTAAAAAACATCCATGTGTGGTGGCACACTGGGAAGGCAGGGACAGGTGATCTTTGGGGCTCATTAGCCAGCCTGCTTAGCTTAATTGGTGATTTACAGGCCAGTGAGAGACCCTGTCTCAAAAAAGCAAGGTGGGAACCAGGGTGATGGCTGTTAAGTCAGATGACCTGACTTTGATGCCCCTGGGCTACATGGTGGAAGACAAGCACCAACTCCTATAAGTTGTTCTCTGACCTCCACACACACACACACACGCCATAGAGCGTGCACAAACAGAATAATTTTTAAAGGACAAGGCAGATGGTCCCTGAAGAACAACACCTGAGGTTGACCTCTGGCCTCCACATGAGCCTGTACACAAGTGCACACCCTCCCCTGCCGACACAGACATTGGTGCAAGACCAAGAACACCAGGAGAGGATGACCTACAGAGCAAAGTGGGAGAAGGCAGGGAAAAAAAAAGCCATGAGAAAAAATTGTCCACTGGATTGAATGCCACTCAGGAGCCTAACCACAAGAGTCTGAAAAGCAGAGTGGGCTGGAAGGTGCTGAAGTCCTTAGACGTCTTAAAAGGAGACATTGGACGGAGCAGTAGAGACCAAGCCAACTGGAATGGAAAGGATGCTGAATCGGCAAATGAAGAAGAGACACCGTGTCTGCCAGTCAAATTGTTTAAGAAGTTTAGGATGCAGAGAGAAGGTATCTATTTTAACTGATGATATTCTAAGATAATAGTAGTAGTGTGCTAACAGTACAGGTACGGTAAACTGGCAAGGTTGGTGTAGAAATGCTTGAAGTCTTGAGAGGTCAGATGGGACGGCCGAACATAGAGGGCTAGAAATTCCCGTGTCAGAAAATGCTAGAACAAGTTTCTTTATGATATAGGACAATTCTGCCAAGCAGTCAGTGGTAAGTCACTCTCTCTTTGGCTGTTTAGAATATGTAGTGACACCATCTGGCCCAGTCTTTGTTTCCGATCCCCCCGCCCCAGTCCTCTTTGGGAGCCCCTTACCCAAAGCCTGTTTCTGACATTTTTCACACCATGTGCTGAGAGACAATAACTCCACCTGCCAAGACCCACTAATCCCCTAACAGCTGCAGGATCTGGTCCATACCCTGAACTCTCCTTCTCGAATAGCTGGTCAGGAGGGATGGAGGGACTGAGCTGGCTTCTGGGCTTGTTTCTGCCAATGCTGCAGGATTTTTCTCTCTCCCTTAGGTCTTGAACACAGCACAGCTTTCCCTGGGAAGTCAGACCCAGCATTAGCCCAACTTGCTTCACTTTTGTGAATTTGATGCTAATGACAGGAAGACACTCGACATGGAGACAGTGCTACAGGCGAGCTATGCAAAAATAAGCAGTCACACTGGTTGGAGTGGCAGAGAGTTCACAGGGAACGTAATGCCCTGTTCTTAAGCCCCATGAGATTTCCATCATGGCCCAAACTGCAGTATGATCATTACAGCATAAATTCCATTTAATTAGTATTTTTGAATGATAAAATACTAACTATACCAAAACAAGACGTCTGATACCACCAACAAAAGTTTCTGGATATCTCAATGCAAAGTCTTTGAATAAGAAGATAAGCCACGAACTGAGACTGCCTATATTTCAGTGTGTGTGTGTGTGTGTGTGTGTGTGTGTGTGTGTGTGTGTGTGTGTGTGTGTGTTGAGGGGGGGGGTATATTCACACACCATGGCACACATGTGAGAGTCAGAGGACATCGGCTGTTAGTCATTTTCTTTTACTTTGAGGCAGGGTCTCTCTAGTTTTGCCACTGTGTTGCATATTCTGGGCTAGCTGGCCTGAGAGCTTCTTAGGGATTCTCCCATCTCCACTTCCCACCTTGCTGGAGGAATTAGACACATCCTGGGATTACAGACTCATGCCTCCATGTCTGGCTTTCCATTTGGGTTCAAAAGACCCTAACTCAGGTTGTCAAGCTTCCACAGCAAGGGTTTTTACCTTCTGAGTCGTCTAACTCCCAGCCCCATACTTCAGGTTTATTCAGTTAACTCTTTGACTTGACTGTGAGCTAAAGAAAAACATGCCCACTATCCAAATAGGTTTCTGGAAATTTGAAAGTTGTAGAAGGAGCCTACACAAAGTCTGAGATGAAAAGGCTATGCAGTTTAATTATGACATTTAGAAAATCAAGTGGAATGTGTACACCAGCTTCCATTTCTCACAAAGTAGTTCCAAGCTCAGCCTTTGGCAATGAAATCCAATGCCCTTATTTACAGGTCTCAACCAGATAGGAGCCTTAAAAGGAAGTCACATGCAGTAGAAATTCCTTCCACACATGAACAGTAGAACCTACTCAAATTGAAACTTTTTTTTCCCCTTTTTCTTTGCTTAATAGAGAACACGATAGGCAGGAAAGGCTGTGTTAAATCTTGTTTGCTTCTTGCTAACCTAATTTGGAATTTTATTTTAAATTTTAGGCTTAGTCCAGCTGTTACTAAATCATAATGGAAGAGGAATGCATACTATTTCCAAGAGGGGGAAAATTCCTCACTAACCGACTAGCACTTTTCATTCTAAGTTCTGCAAATTACTTCCCACGGTTTCCCTAGTGGCTGTCAGCTAACACTCAAGTTGTGGCCTGAAACACATAAGCAAGACCTGAGCACAGTGTCACCTGTGGCCTGCAGATCACTTGGCAGTGTGTGGGGACCGCCCCTGAAAACAGCAACACCTTTATTCAAGGAGCAGCAGCGCACTTGCATTGGTGACAATGGCAAGGCCGGGAACTTGAGATGAATGGGGACCATTCATCTTCTCAATGAACAGGAAAGTAAACAGAAATGAGGCAGCTCCGTTTGACTATGCCCAAGCCAACCTGCAAGGACACTCGTGACAAGCATGCTCAGTACACTAAAAGTAATAAAAAAAAAATTCAAACAAACGAACAACAGTAGAGTCGGAAAAGGAGGGAGGCTCATGGGGAAAAGGAACTTACTCATGAAGCCGGACCAGGCTGCCATGAGATACGAAGGTTTCTCAGCACCTACAGTCTGTTACCTGGCAGGACTTTGTTTGTGACAACAGAGGACCTTAGAACTTCTTTCGAAGGCCACATGATTCAGCCCAAATCATGTAATTCCACTGAACATTTCAATTCCAGGGGTTGGGACCCCCGCCTTCCCCGTAAAAAGCACATTCTAATGCAGCCCGTTTACCTTGGTCTTTTCCCCTACGATGTTCTTTTCTAGTTCCGTGATTTTCCGGTTTAGATGATCCAGAATCTCCTTCTCCTTCATGAGCTCAGCCGTCTCGGATTTCTGCTCTCCATCCAAAAGAGCGCATTCCATATCCAACTAAGGACATAAAAGACAGCTCAGAAACATTTCACCTTCAGGAACGACTGCCCACTGCTGAGGTGCAGGCTTAACAAGAGTCTCATCAAGTGTTACTGACCAGCCAGATGGTGGGTTTCAGGCATGGAACCTGGGATGCCTGTCTAAGAAAGCCAGTGGGGAGGGGGAGCCCACTATGTAGTGGCTTAAAAAGCTAATTACCTGACCGCTTCACTTTTCTGTGGCAACTTCTCTTCAGGGCTATTTTGCCTATTTGCTTAGGCTTTAGCTCAAGAATCATCTACCTTGAGTCCAACCAGCTCTTGCTTGTCCCTGGAGTCTGAGGGGTGAACATTATCCCAGCCCCAGAAGAGAGGCCCACATTCCTGGCGGATTCCGGGGGTGGGGGTTCAGGACACGGTGACAGGTGAGGAGTCCCCTCACTGTGCTCTCAGGACTATTGGCACCATCTGTGGGTGCTGACATGCAGACTCCACCTCCCAGTCCTGGCAGAATTCTGTGTTTTTTGCCACTCCATACGACGGTAAAATTAAAACTGCCACTACCTTCTGCTTCTATTAAACAAGCGAGTCTACCTCCTGTTCTGCAAATCTGTAGAAAGCTGGCTTTATGTTGAATTCATATGTGAATCCCCTTATAGTACCTACATGATACCAGTGCATAGTAAGAATGCTCAGAAAAGGTTAGGTGGAGTTGAATTTGAATACTTCATAAACAGAGATTAATTTAGCAATTGATCCTGCAATCAGAAAGCATATATCGTACTAATCAAAAAAGTTTGGCCAGATATAAAGTACATTAAAGCTGGCTTAATATGTTTATGTCTATGTCATCAGATTACACACCCCTCCCCCACCCCCCCTCCACCCCCCACCCCCCCCACCCCCCCACCCCACCCCCACCCCCCCAGAATGTGAGGCAGGGCACTTCTACAAATGATTCCCACTGAACAAATGTTTGCTCATGTTGACCTCTATGAATTCACCTCTCAGGGCTGGTCCACAATGAGCAGAAATATCTAAGCTGATGGGGGGGAGGGGGGATAGAGAAAAAAAGCCGGGCGGTGGTGGCGCATGCCTTTAATCCCAGCACTGGGGAGGCAGAGGCAGGCGGATCTCTGAGTTCGAGGCCAGCCTGGGCTACAGAGTGAGTTCCAGGAAAGGCTCCAAAACTACACAGAAAAACCCTGTCTCAACAACAAGAGAGAGAGAGAGAGAGAGAGAGAGAGAGAGAGAGAGAGAGAGAGAGAGAGAGAGAGGGAGAGGGAGAGGGAGAGGAGTGAGCTCCTAGCTTATACCTCTCTGGAAGATTCATCCATTTGGTCATTTATATCTTTGACTTTCTGTTCAAGCTCCTCAAGGTTGTTCAGAATCACCATCCGGGCATCTTCCATTGCAGCCAACTCCCGAGTCCTCTGTTCCTCACCTATATCCTCCGGCGTCTGGGGTCAAGCAAAACAGATATGAGTTATTCACACTTCAGTTCTAGAATTTTCCTATTAGTCTTCTAAAGCAGCTGCAAGGCGAGTGTTGGTGTCCCTCCACGTGGGTATGCCTGGGAGGGCCAGCCTGAGCTACATGAGACCTTTTCTCAACCAAACACAGTAAATCAATGAAAAAGCATTTTAAAGTTCCATTGAACCATGATGCATTTTCTCATAGAGACTACACTGCTCTACTCAATTACACACCTAGACGAGAGCCAACAAGCCAACTTCCATTCACAAATTCACATCGTTTTTCAGCTCAAAGAACTACGAGGCTATCCAGATGAGGACGTGGCAGGAGGCAGAGATGAAGTGGCTTCTCCAAGTGTTACAAAGTTCAACACACACACAGCAGGGAACCAGAAACAAGGCTGGACCTTTGACACCTTCCTGCGGGGGATCTCTCAGCATGTTGCTATGTTGCTAGCTTCCTTACAAGTTCTATCTGTAGAAACCTTCTAAACCTGTAGCCACGCTGCTAGGTTTTGCTATCAGGGTTGCCTCCGAAAGAGTATTGATACTTTCTTTTTTGCTTCTAATACAAGGTGGACATCAGTTTTGACACGACCATGCCACACAGCGTCAAGTGGCACATTTGATATTGCTAGGGGATGCCTCATGTGCTGTGTTAGCTCACTCCTCACTAACCTGGTCTTATAGACCATCTTCTTACATAGTTAATATATCAACGGGACTTAAAATGCAACCCTGGTCACCATTCATTTCATGGAAGAACCCAGGTTTCACGGAAAGGGACGAGACTACCCAGCACATGCAGTGACAGCGCATTCTCATAGTCTCACCCATTTATTGGTAAATTTCGGGGGAAGAAAGGAATGTTGTGGATGGTGTACAAAGCCCAACATGCCCATTGCTTAAAAAGAAAACAGACGACATCAAAATTGCCTCGTCTCCCCAGGACTTTGGATTAGCTATCTTGAGTATCACCGGGGGAAGATAAAAACTTACTATATAAAGAGAGATGCCGGGGTTGTTACATAGCATGATTTAATTTTTACGTCTCTTGGAATAAAGTGATTTTTGGATGAGTAAGTTGGTGACCAGCTATTCCACAACTTAAAAATGAAAACATCAGCCCCGTTAAGTACATTCTTGAGGATTCTTCCTTAATACTTAAAAAGATCATTCACAGGACATGGTGGTAAATACTTACAATCCCAGGACGCAGGAAGTCGTGGCAGAAGGACTACCCATAATTCATGACCAGCTTGATCTACATATCAAGGTTGAGGCCAGTCAGGGCTACATAGGCAGACCAGGTCTCAGAAAACCAACCAACCATCCAAATAAACAAACATCACAGTAATTAGAGTACCCAAACAATCATTGCACCTAAGCGCACCACACTGGGTTTATTTAATTTGTTTTCTAATCCTGTTATAACTTTAACAAAATTTATACCATGTCATATTCTACATTATTTATTTGTATTCATTTTTTTACCCTATTTAGTAGTTCCAAAAGGAGACTGAACAATTAAAAATTCACAATCTTGGCCCAGTACGGTGGCTCACATCTTTAATCCCAGCACTCCTGAGGCAGAGATAAGCAGATCTCTGTGAGTTTAAGACCAGTCTGGTCTAGTGAGTTCTAAGCCAGTGGGGACTACAAAGAGAAACACTATCTCACTATGGCACACTACAGCTTCCATGACAAGATTTTTTTTCCTTTTAAATTTTATTTTTAGGGAGGAGCTTGCAAGGGCAGAGGGCAGATACGAAGGAATGGGTAGATGAATGGGATTGGAGCGCAAGATGTGAAATCCACCAAGAAACAATAAAAAGTTAAAAAAAAATAAAATTGGTATCTCAGTAGGTTAGAACAAAGGTACATAGGCCTTTCAAGCTTTGACATTATTTTATTGTCATCTTAAGTCTACCATCTTACCAACTAATAAGACAACTTCTGACCTTTCTAACACAAGAGTGGGGTTTATTGTCTCGGTGATCAGGCGCTTGCTTTAGATCGGGAGGAGTGTCTAACAGTGAATGGCACTCAACAGCGCTGCCCAGTAACTGCAGCAGGAAAGCCTTGGAAGGCCTTCAGAAAGCCTCGGAAGGCCAGGATCCTGTTGGGTCAGCACTGCATATCAGGTTTCTACTTCCAACAGGGTTTAAATATATCTGTCACCAGTGGAAGCAAAGCATTTAGAGAAGACAAAACAAACGGACAGTTTGCAGACTGTACACTGTGTCAGTTGGGAGTGAAGATAATTAACAACAGAAATGCTAAGTATTTACATGACCCAGGACTTTTAGAAACTTTATCACAACGAGCATATTTAACAGACAAGAGAGCACTTACTGTAATAAAGGTACATAAGGGTTGTTGGAAGTTGTTGGGATAGATTCACGAGGCATTTTAAAATGCATGCTTTGGTTTGTTTTTGAAGAGTCTTTATTTGTATATTTTGCCTGCATGCATATCTGTGCCAAAGGGGACCAGAAGAGGGCATCAGATCCCCTAGAACTGGAGTTATAGCAGTTGTGAGCCATTTGAGGTGGGTACTGGGAATCGAACCCAGATCCTCTGCAGGAACAGCAAATACTTTTAACCAATGAGACATCTCTCCAGTCACCAAACTGAATGCTTGGTGACAGAACAGAAAGAAAGTTTTATTGTAATCTCATTAATTAACAGAATAAAGAAAATTGGTGGAGAACCAAACCTGTGACAGGATAGCTTTAATTATGCAGTGACCAAAAAGTGAAATTTTAAACACATTACCCTCTATTTCAATGGTGGGATGTATTCTTATAGTAATATGGCACTCTTCCAGTAGCCATACCGCACCCGTATGCACATCAGCAAATATGTCATCTTTGAGGTAACGTGGTCCACAGACAGAAAAAAGAAGAGAGGATAGGGACAAGACGATTTCTACGCCCGCCACTTTTTGTAGACCTCCACAGCTTGCTGAGGTGCGTGGCTTTTCACTGTTGATGGAACAATTACTGAAAAACAGGTCTGGGGCTGTCTATGAGTCAGCTGCCTCAGGTGGGCGTAGATAGCATCACAAAGGCCATTCAAACTGTGTTTCCAAGGATGTGGACAGCTTTCAGTGTTCAGTAAACTAAGCTCCTGACTGGTAAATTTTAGGTTTCCTAAATGCTATAAAATTTTTTTTTTAATGATAGGTTTTGAGTGTGTGTGTGTGTGTGTGTGTGTGTTTTAACATTCCTCTCTTTTCTACTTTCCCACTGACCAATTTAACTAATAACAAGTACTATACTTCATTAAGCAAATAATCCAGAAACACAGTATTAGGAAGAGTATTAGAAACACCCCAAAGAGAGGGCCAGGAAGTTTGTCTAAGTTTTCTGTTTCTTGAGTTATCACATGCCTAT